TTCTTCTCTTTGCTCTTCACCAGGCCAGCTTGGCTCTCACTGTTCTGTGTTTTGAAGACCTCCTTGGGGTTTCAGGCGAACAAGAACCTGTTGGTTTTAAAATACGGCTCTCCTTCCAGCTGCTCAGCACCGGCTGAGCTCAGCAGTACTGAGAGGCAACTGTGGGGAGGAGTGAGCTGGAGGTCGTTCTGAAAAGGGAAGGAGGGAGAATACGCACTGGCCTCCCGTGCAGCTGGAATAGAATTGTGTGATATGGTACTTCTGCTTATGTTCGTCCTCTGCGATGCTGTCTCCTTGCATGAGGCAGTAAAGACCTTACTGAAGGCACTTGGAAGTCAGTGGGAGTGTTTGATGTCCTGGCTGAAAAGACGTGTTGGAAGGGCCTGCACAGGAGCCTCTGATCTTGGCTTTGTGCAGGGTGGTGACATCTAAGGGGTTGCCTCTTCTCCTGTGGCTTCTGGGGAACACAGCGGATGAGAGCAGTAGGTACAACCTGGCAGATAAATGCATCCTAGACACTGCCCTACAGCCTGCAAGGAGCAAGCTAAAAGCAAGATCGGTCCCCTCCACGAAGAAGGTTTTACACTGGCTTTCTCCTTGTCCTCCCTCTGGAGGAAAGCAACAGAAAATATCTCAGTGGTTTTCCAGGGAACATAACTCTTAGGATCGCTGTAGAAATACCTGTAAGAAGCAGTTGTAAAATGGCATAGCAGACTTCTAAAGTTTCGTAGTGTCCCAACATGATGCTGTTTATTCTTGAGTGCCATCTACTGACAATTTCTTTCTTAATGATTTACTTTCATTGACGTTGCTTATTTTAAATGCCCTATGTAACATCTGTTAGCTTAGATGGAGGGACCTGCAATTTTGGAGCTGAAGGATTAGGAGTTAGTATTTTATTGGGACAGCTGGCAGCTTGTAATGTTCCTTATTCCTTGAGCACCTCATTTCCCTCTGCAGACCGGGATGCTCTGCACATGATGCTTTCAGTTCTCTCTTTAACGTCCTTTTTTCCTTCACCCGTCGCCAGGCTTCTGCCCATCTGCCCTTCCTTCCCTGCCTGCTCCTTCTGCCTAAAGGGCAACTTCTGGCCTCCCTACGCTCACTCTTCCGACTTCAAAGAGTAGCTTTAGTTGTGCTACTTCCTTGCGCAGGAGGTTGCATCCCTGAGTTTGTTACAGTCCTGCTGGGATCTTATTTCCCCCCTCTCCTTTCTGTTCTTCCTCTTCTTTCAAGAGCTTTTTCAGCAACTTTTGTGCAGTAACCTTGAAAATATTTAACGATCACTGACTTCACTATATTACCTGTTCTAGAGGTATTTTATTTTAGTTATGTGATACTTGAATTAGCATCGTTATTACAGTTTTTCATTTTCTGTCTGGAAGATTTCCTCCCCCAGCAGTCCGATACGTTTTGCAAAGATAAAAATAAATTAAAGGTGAAGAGTTATTGCCAAGGACAAGAGCTTGTGAAGTTTAGCCTACAAGGTATTTCTTTTTCCATTGAAAACATAATCTTTACCAATAAAGAAAATGCCAGGTACCTAACTCATTATAAGCAATTGAGAAAATGAGACAAGAGGCGTCCTTCTTATACACTTAGTTTTTGGCTTGGTTTTATCTCTGCTACGTAGCCAAAGGAATGAGGAAAATAGTAGTAAAGTCACCTAGTGCACAGCACCAATTTGATAGAGGCTTCTTTGACCATGCCTTCGATAATAGAGTGTGATGGCCAGGAACACCCAGGCCCTCGGCTGCCACTCAATTTCAGGCAGAAAATATCAAGCAGCAGAAGTGTAGACATTTGTCCGCAACATACTTCTATTGTGGAACTCCTTCCCAGCGGATTTTGCTGTGGTCAAAACTGTAAGTAGGTTTAAAAAGGCTTAGACAGATTCATGGTGGGCAGGTGTGATGTTTGCTATTAAGCATGACAGCCTGGATCTAGCATTTGTTACAGAAAGCCCCTGTAGAGCTGATGGCTGGAAGGCTGCAAGGGGGAAAATGCTGATCGGTGCTGACCCTGGGTGGTGCTGCCCATCCCTGCCAGGGGCAGGGGCTACAGCGGCCAGGGGCCGATTCAAAACAGCCACCTTCAGTCTGGAGAAAAACTTTGAATTCCCCCAGAAATGGCAGTCTGTCTTAAGTGGTTGTTCTCCACTAAAGAGCTCGTGGATCCCCAAATCTCCAGTGATAAAACCGGCATTGCCCCCACCGCCCGGACTCAATCCCTCCGAAAGCACAGGGTTAGGTTTTGCTGGGGTTGTTTCGGTAGAGATAATTTTGCTGAAGTGAGGGCTGAGGAGTATTTCAGTATTTGTTCCTGGACTTCTAAGTCCATATTCTGCCTTTCATATAAACACAGCTCCAAACTAATATTTGTCTGACTTAGAAACTACTTAGCAATAACATGTAACGTGTTGCTTGAATCTCATTTCTTGTATTTTAATGATTAACAGCTTCCTGTGCTACAATTCGTAATTCAGGCTTTTTCCTCCTTTCTTGAATCGGGCAGCGAAAACTGCTCAGTGACAGAGACGATGCTTGTGAAATTGCCACACAGGGGTTCCTCTCACCGAAGGGCTGACAAGATACCAGCTGAGCAGAAAGCTTAATTGCATGGCTGATCAAAGGGGAATGCATGAAGACAGGGAGACTGTAAGGGGGTGTGCGTAGGAGGGTGTTTTAGCAAGAGATTATAGGGGAACGTGCGAGTCTGGCACACCCGAAATGACAGAAATGAGTGCATGAGCTAGTACAAAATAGCGTGCTAACCAAAGGCATCCACCGATCGGCTTCAGCCCCTTCTCAGCTCTTGCCTAAAAGAACTGTATTCTATTAGCTGAACCTCATGAGACAACAACATCCAGGCTGAACTGGAAAAGAGAGATCAAAGCAATGAGCTGGAATGGGAAGAAAGGACGCGGGGCACTGATACGGTGTACTCTCGGGAACAGGAGGAACTGACGTAAAAAATTGAGAACGGAAAAAAAAGCATTGAAGGCACATGCCAGCCCTTCCATGTGCTGTAAAATGCTGTACTGTCAGAGTTTCAGTTCACGATTTGCACCGTGCTTTGTTGTATTGCTTACTGTCTTCCTTTATACTCAGCTCCACTTACATCACTGGGAGCATTTGAGGAGTAAGATACCTCTAAATATGAAATCAGGTGCCATTAAAACGGCTTATACACAGACTTGCACCATTTTATCCCAAATCCATTAAAAACCTCATTACGATTAAATTGGCATAAACCTCTGTGCCAGTGATATTCAACTGATTTAAGCTGCATCAATATAAATCCAGTTTCAATTGATTTAAGAGAGTCTAGGCAGAAATGCACTGCATTTCACAAACTGATGGGAGGAGATACTCTTATTGAAATATTAAAACTTATGCACTCAGTCTTTTCATATTCAGCTGTGGGGTTTTTGAACTTTTACCATTTTGCATTTTACAAGCCCTTACAGGAGTGGAAACAAGTAGTTTTAGAGCAGTCACATCAATGGCTTTTTACTTCATCAACCGAACCTTTGCACAACCGCAGAAGCCTTCAGCTTCACTGTTTTATAAAATTCTAAGGACAGAGGAGAAGCATAATATTTCTTCTACTTACCCTACCCTGAACTCAGAGTATTAGTATCTGACTAACCCCCTTTTTTTTTCCTGCAAAAGACATCTAGCCTTTAGTTTAATACACTCCTTTTTTTTTGTAAAAATAATGAAAGCCCATCATCTAAGATGCTTACTCCAACAGTAAACCGTCCTGCCTCTTGGAACCAAATACCTCATTCCTAATTTGAGTTTCTCTGACCTGCACTTCCAACCCTCAATTCTTGTTGCACTTTTTTCTGCTCAGCTAAATACCTCGGCAGGTACAAGAAGTCCAGTTCAAGTTAATAGGCCTTGCGTAGACCTGCATATCTCAAATGGGACTGACACTCAAGGTTACCAGTCCTCATCACAAGTAGCACCTTATGTCCCACAGGCCCACAGGTAGGAGTGGGAGAAGCGTTTCTCAGTCTAGGAGCAAGACTGGCACAGTTGGGATCTCTACAAACACGGATACAGCCGTATTTTAGCATTTCAGAACTCAAGGCACACCGTACACACATACACGTCCTGTAGGTGTCAGGTATGTTTGACCTCAGTCCCCAAAATCTTGACCAGCAATTCAGTGGATAAAGGTAAATGCCATCAAACTTCGGCACTTGGCTGCTTTCATGGCTCTTTCTCCCACCTTTCCAACCACCGCCCTCCGGCGACGGCTGGAGACTTGTGGCGAGGAGGAGACCGAAAGGAAGCACCCAGCAAAACTGCTCTGTTCTCTGGCAGGAAGAAAAGAGGGATTTTCAAGATGATTGCTCTCATCTCTTCTCATGTACAAGGTCCATATCTGCAATCTGTACATGCAAAAATTACCCTCTCCCCCACTACTTTTTCCCTTCCTCATGGGTATGAAAAACAAAAAAGTGGTACTTTTGAAAGAGAGGTTGCCCTGAAAGGGAGGTTGCGCTGACCATTAAGGGACTGGACATGACTGAGTCAATTGGGAAGTCGGTCAGATTGCCTGCACGATCCCAGAGAAGTCATTTAATCACTCTGCGCTCGAGTTCCCTGCTACAGTAGTTGTTTGGTCTACATGGTCTGCTCATGGCCAGCTTGAAGCAGTCTAATGTTATCGAAGCTTATCTAATATAACACTGGGAGTGCAAATGCAGTTGTGGTCTTGAATTGACACTGTGTAATGTTAGAAAGAAGATAGAAAAGCATTGGCTCTCATAACCTGGCAGTGATAAATTATGCAGTCCTCTCCTTCCAGCCTCTCACATCTGCAATAGCTACAGTAGAACCTGAGTCCAAACACTGCTCTTATTTAGCACTGGAACTGTCAAGCCAGTCTCAGCTTTCACGTGAGATTTCATGAAAAATAAATTTGACAGTTTCTCCAAGCTGAAAGGCCTCTAACCATGCCTCCAGCCTGCTAGCCATAGTACTTACATGCTTTGTGAAATTTGTGTTTCACATCAAGAAGGGTAGATGATGGAGGTACCTGGAAAAGAAAACAGAATGCAAGCAGATTAATTTTTCTGTCTTCTTCACCCTGGGATCCATTCTCTCCTCCTCTAATGAAGAGATGATTCAATTTGTCTGTAAGTTCCTTAGGCAGTAATGAAGCAAATCAGCAAATTTGTTCTCACGTGTTGATATGTTATGAAGGATTGTCCACATTTGATTTACACATTACCAGGACCACCTCTGCTTGGATAATGGAAGGGTAAAATCCCAAGGGTCAAGAGGGAAAGCTGCTGGCCCTGCTTGAGGCAATAACTGCCCCCAAGATCAAACCAGTGGGACAACTTGAAGGGTCAGCTTTAAAGTTATGTTCGAGCATGCTGGGGCACGTCTCTTAGAGACATGGAAGGGTTTTCCTGAGGGGCTAGTAGCAAAGGTGGCAGGTTCTGTCCTTTCTGCCTGAAACGAGTTTGCTTCTGCGTGCTGTTGTTCTTGTGCACTGAAGCAATTCAGGTGTCACAGTGTTAACTGGCAATTTGGAGGCCTTTTAGGCTCTATTTTATTACGTATATTGATTTTTTAATACGCTTTGTGCAAAGTATCTGAGACACATAGAATTCACTAGAGCGAAAGACTCCAAAGTACCTTGCATTTACAAGGAAAGGCAATGGAACACTTCAGGAAGCAGTATGTTGAGCTTGAGATCGAGGCAGCAAGAGCTGTAAGGGTCTGGTCTTAACAAGACCATCCCTTTGTAGTTAATGCTGATTTAATATTCTGTATTGTTCATTTACGCACAGAGACTGAGGAGTGAATTGAACTGTGTCTTAACTATGGGGATCTGGTTTGGCTCTAGCGAAAGACCTCATTGCTGCAGCCGGACAGCAGAACGCAGAAAAAACCACTTTCCCTGGAGACTTTAGGCACCCGTGTAGCACAGGCTAACACTAGCATCAAGTGATGGTGACGTATAGCGAAATCTTGAGGAGCAGCAGAATTTCTTTGGGTTGAGGTAGAGAAACAGCCATGGCATCATTTTCCATGGCTGGACACTCATCACCTGGTTCACCCCATCTCCAGCTTCCCTCGGTCTAAGCAGAATGTGGCTGTGTCCGGACATAGCCTCCTTGGGAGTTACATAGCAACCCAACAGTTCTGCTCTGCAGAAGCTTGTCTGTCTCTTCCCATCTCAAGATTTCTATGGGGTTTGCCGGGCAATCCAATTCCTGTTTCATTGCATTAGTTAGCACTTGTATACTTAAGCATTAATCAACTTACTGAGCCTTGCTTGGATCTTGGCATCATCTTTAGCCTGTAGCCCCACTTCTTCCAAATGTAATTAGTGATATTTATCTATTTTACTTATGGGTGATACTAGTGAATTGTGACAATAACCATGCAAAAAAATAGGGAAGAACATAAGAAATTCTGCTAGTAGAGATCAGTCAGCACCTTAACATAGGTTGTTTTGCCAAAAAGACTGTTTGCAGAAATACTGATGTGAGAAAATAAAATTGCTGACTCTAAACCAATAAATCAGTAGAGAGAGAAAAGTTTTCCTTTTACATAATTTGACACCCCCCCAAATACACAGTATACGTGCCATTAGTGCTTAGGAGTAAGCCAACCCATTTCCAGTAATAATATGAACAGGCAGAGAGCTCAATTCAGACTTCAATGATCTAAAGCTGTAAAATGATACCTGTGCTAAATGGTATGTAAAGTTCAGATTTTTCCTAGCTTTTTCTTTGCGTTTAGATGAGAACACTTTCTTTTCCTCAATTACAGAGGGTTTTATTAGGCATTGGAAAAACCCTTATTTGCAGAAACTGCCGTAAGTGAACCTCTACTTAAACCCTGACTTGTCTCTCTCATGCGCCTGCTAAGGGATGCCAATTCCACCCAAATCAAGGGCTGGGTTCCTTGAACCAGGGATGTACCCCTTCCCTGAGATGACCAAGGTCTGTATTGCACCCAAACCATGTTGAACAGGGACATTGCCCTTGGAGTTCCTGATGCCAGCTGAGTCCCTTTTCTTCCCAGCTACAAGGAACAATAGCAGAAGCCATCTTATCTTTCTTGGTTCAGAAAGGAAAGAAAACATTTTATCGGTGTTCATTGCACTTAAGCCATTCCACACAACATCCAGTAAAAGAGCACATCTCCCATAGTCTACATCTGCCTTTTCTTGTAATGTGTACAACCGCTGTGGACTTGAACATGGGAGATAGGTTTTATGTTTTCAAAACCTCTAAAAATATCTGAAATTGCTTTCTCACACCTTGTAAGCTCACACCTGTGAGGTCTGGAGCCCAGACTCCCTCAGATAGGGATGCAAGTGCTGTTAGCTGGCAATGACTACACGGCACGCAAGACTGCAGACCAAAATCTGTCGTGTGTCCTAGCGCAGGGCAGGTGTGCAGGTTTTCAGAGCTGGCATTGCCAGCTCAAGGACAGGGATGGTCTTTTCCGATGTGATGGAGGATGATTTGGCTTTCTAAATACAGTATAAGCCGTGTTACTGCAGGGCCTGCATCCCTACAGGAGATCAGCGTCTTCTGGTAAGGAACATGGGTCGCCCGGTCCTGGGTAGCCAAAGCCAGCCTGTGCTCTGGAGAGCTGATCATCTGATTAAGGGAAGCTGAAAGACTGTTAAGCTTAGCACACTCAGAGAGCAGTGCCAGCTCAAAACAGAGCCCATGGTCTCCACCTCCTGCACTCCTGAGTCTGGGTCGACTTCAGGGCAGCGCTGCTTTCAACCAGTGCAAAATTTCCAGTCCAGCCCTTCTTAGCAGCTCTGCCTTTACATCCCTCTCCCATTTTTCAGCCTGAGGCTTCCAGTGCTTTCTCCCCTCTAAATCTTGCTGTGCCAGCCATGGGGATTCATGTCACCTAACTTTAGCTATCAAAAAATTTAGCCTAAGCTTGTGTTTTAGATCTACCTATAGAACCATTCACGTGCCTTAGGTATTTAAAAGTTACCGAGTGCCTGCCAGGATCCGTGCTTACAATGGCCTGCTGCAGCAGAGGAACCGGTATGCAGGTGGGGTGATGTGAACCATCAGCCACCACCTCCCCTACCTCCAAAGCTGGTCCTTGAGCCCCGTAGCCGCAGCTGGGGTGGGGGACCGTGGTCTGTACCCCACCGACGAGAGAGGCAGAGCTCATTAGCAAGAGCACTGCTGTGCCTGAGTGCATCCAAGCTGCTTTAGGCTAGAGCTGGTTTAAATCCCGCCAGCTCAGGCCCAGGCAGAGCACGTACTTGGCTGGTTAGTCGCGGTCTGGCAGCGCCGCGTGGCACCACACCGTACGGGCTGCCGGTGCCCGGGGATGGACTGGAGCACACATCCAGGTGGGAGGGCAGGAAAACGTTTGGTTTATGGGCCAGTTGGCTCAGAGAAGGACCTTCCCGCTTGAGACGAACTACAGGGATCGCAAGTCGAAAAATAACACAAATGGCTTCCCTCTTCCGCGTGGGCTATGACAGAGAGGAATCGCAGTGTCCTTTCCCAGGCAGAGTAATGAGGCTATAGCCACAAAAGAATGAAATACATTTTTTTATGATCTTGATAATTCTGTGTCCTTTTTTTTTTTTTGAAGACCTCATGAAACAACCGGTGAAGTTATAGTTTCTATTATTGATCAATGTGAAGATGGATGCTGAGACATCAGCTTGCTACTAAGAGTGTCCTCTTCGTAGACCATTAATTATCTTTTGTTCTTTTCATTGTACATCAATACGAGCTAAAGAATTGTAAGGACTGGAACAGCATCTGCTCTTATTACCCTTTGTGCTAACTGAATAAAACCCCCTGGAACATTTCACTGTAATTATTAGTCTTACTCTCCTTTTATTCTTTTAAATTATTCCTGAAAGTGTTACATTCTTCTTTTTTTCCTCTATTTCAGCACTTTTCAAATATGCAAAGGGAAAATGCAGTGAAAGACCACCCTTAGTTTATTTAAAATGAGACAAATTTCACTGTAAAAACATCTTTTACTTGGCACATACCTTCTGATATGGTGGTCAAGCCAGCTTTCCCTCCAACTTCTTAACTCGTAGTCTAACACCAGATTTTAAATATAGTTAACTTACTAGTAACTTGCTATCATGTGTAAGGTTCAAGACTACTTTTTCTGCACAAAAAAGTATTATGAAGAAATGCAGGTTTTACAGGTGTGGGTTGCATTCATTACACTTTTCATTCAGAAAAGGATGATTTAAAAACCTCAAATCCTGTTTTACCTGTACCTTCATAGCAAAGATACTTTCAATTTTCCATTCGAGGCAACTTTTCAGTTTTTTAGGAATTCAAGAATAAAAGGACCTTCTGGGTCATCCATTCCACTTCTATCCTTCCTTTGTGCAGCAATGCACAAAGCATCACATTTCTTTTTAAGATTTAATATACCGTATTAGTAAGTTAGGCTATGACTCAAGGAAGAGCACTAAGTGGAAGATATTATGGGAACTTAATACTGCCTTTTGTGAGTGCAAGCTAATCGGATAGTTATCCACTTTCATACCTCTTTCACGTTTATAAGTCAAGGAATTGTAACAAGTCTGGTGATCTGTACGTATTTGCATCACACAGTTCTTGCACTAAAGAATTATTTTAGGGGTTGGAGGTTAGCAGAATATCAATAAGGATTTGAATAATAGAATTTTAGCAAATAAGTGATCTTTCATTCAACACGTCCCTTTGGATATTTTTTTCTCTTTGTGCCATGTCAGTACCCCTGCACTGCGGAGTCACCTACTTTCCAACAGGCACTCATCTTCCATAACTGCAGAAATTCAGAAATTTTGCCGCTCCAGCTGGCCGTAAACCACAGACGGCCCCATCTTCAGCCAGGGTAAATTTGTTCAAAAGGGTGGCATCAGCTTATTGCGGCTAAGGATCTGACCCCAAAACAGATAACGGGAAAGCCAGGTAATTTCTAAATTCAGCAGTCAACAAATATTTCGTCATTACTGCTTTTGCACCCTGCCCTTGCTTTGGGACCATACCGTGATGTTAGGAACCAGCAGCGTTT